GTAAGAGTTGCTAGGGAAACATTAACAATGGATTTTGAAGTGCATCGGTTTTCCAATAAAACTACGAAAAAAACATAATTCTATCAATCAATAGCATGCTTTCCCGATTAAGATTTCTTCTCAACTCTAGAAACCACCTACTGAGCTGAGCCAAGATCTGCGTCCAACATTTTCGAATTGCATGACCACTTACAAAGAACACTGACGTAATACCCTAATATTAAATCACTTAATTTCTCGGTTTAAATCCATTCTTTTGTATCCTGGAACATTTTCGTGAATCTGAGATCTATAATCCAACACACAACTACAACCCTATTTCCGAAAATCATTTACAAGGTCTTCATACATACGATTTGTGCAGTTAAACAAGCTTTTCTTGGAGTAAAAAAAGAATCCTTTCAAAAGACTAAAAGTTTTCTTTTTACATGGTGAGTGTGTTACGAACAGCTGAAACGTTGTTGTCCCATCTTTCGTACAAATTGTAGTATTCAATCTTTACCTTATTATGTGTGGAGCACATCATTAAAAAGATTTACAATTTGTGTAACAGCTGAGCAATTATATATATATATATATATATATATATATATATATATATATATATATATATATATTCCGGTTAGTGAATATAACAGAGCACAGGTGGTATTTTCTTATTCTTGAAATGTCTAATATTTAGTGTCACAGTAACTAGGTCTAAAATATTAAAGTTTGCATTCTTTTTTAACTTGTTAAATATTAATTTTTTACATATAAATGTATATCGGTTGTAATATAAGGATATATATATATATATATATATATATATATATATATATATATATATATATATATATATATATATATATATAGTCTAATGAATTACGAAAATTTCTGCACAATGAACATCTGAAATTAAACAAATTTAACAGCAGTAGGGTAAAACTAAATGCTTTCAATCATTTACATTAAGTAAACGATAGAGAGTATCTCAAACGTAACAGTATTCAATCGTAATTACTAAAACGGAAGTAAATAATTAAACACTCGGATATTACCCACACACTGAATGTGGCTGTATTTGTCCAAACAGAAATAGGTGGGGACAGGCAATGTTCGATTTTGGAACTTAATGGTTGGAATTCGAATGTCCTAAACATTAAGTCACCATTCCATATTAAGCAACTGCTTCAATTTTGCCAATCATGATTATAGTTTAATTTGATTGATTCAGACATGTACTAACTGAAGATTTTGTTTTTGTTTGTACTAAACATTCCAAGGTATTATACTATTTGATCAGATAAAACATAAGGTAAATTAGAAATAGAATCAAAATAGTCTTACAAAAATCAACAAAAGAAATCCTATCAACTTACCAAATTTGAAAAGATTAGTTTGAACTGTATACAGTATACTTAGGGATTGGGATTTCCAATTTTTTTTTAAAATGAGATCTCTTTTTATTGTCTTTAACTGTTATTATTAAAACTATTTTTGTATATTTGGTCTAAATATTGCTGATTTATCTCTAATTTTCTAACGTAAACCTATAATAAATTGGAGTGATGCGTTTGTAACAGATATGAGATAGTTTCTTTTTATTTAAGCAATGATCAAAGTGTAACGTACAATTTACTTTATAAATCTTAAGAATTTTGAAAGTCAACTGTCAATAGAAACTTGATTTCAACTTATGTATATGAACGTGAGATTAAGAAATCCATTTGAGAATTAACATTAAACTAAATTCCCAAGGAAAGTAAATAAGTTCTAAATATTAAGAAAAACTAGGTTTAAACAGAAGATGATGAGAGAAAATGTGTTAATTTTATAACACTGGTCATACTAAATGATCTACAACGGCGCCCACGCAGTAGCTTGGCTGTCGAATAAAGTATAAACATTTATGTGAGATATCTTCAGAGTTTTGTGTTATAGGTTGTAAAAAAGTCAGCAAGTTATTTTTATCTTTAGAATAGGTGGACGAACATTGATTCTGATTTAATTATTTGGAATATACTTTCCATTAAACAATGACTGTAGATAACTTCACCTCAATTAAACAAGATTGCTTTTTAGTAGCTAGTCAGTCGATCATTATTTGTTTATTTGAACACATAAACATTGGTATAAGAGAGCACAAATATGAATGCGTCACACAAAAATGAGGTTGTGAAGAAATAGAGAAAGGAAAATGAATATAATAAAAAAATATATACATTAATATGAATTAGTGTATGAGAGTGAAATAATAATTATTATTAATAATAGTAATGGGATAAGCCGTTTAGTTATGAAAAAAAAAACCAGAAAGAATTCTTTCAGTTAAAGTTACGTTCACTTTTATGAAAAAAAGCAAGTTACATCAGGATTATTTATTTATATGAACACATAGATATTGATACAAGGGGGCACCAGATACATATGAGCCACACAAATCTCATTTGATTTATGTGAGGGCTGTGATACTGTTCGGGTGTCCAAACCGAAGCAGGTTACGTCAGGATAGCTACTGGCTTTTATTCTGAGCCATGTCTGATAACATCTCAAGCCACTGTGTTGCACCGTCTCTAGGGTCCCAACCAGGAAGTTGTGAGGAACCAACAGAAGCCAGTCCTGTACAGCTTTCTCCCATACAATGATACCATGTCACACACTGACTACCTCCCCACCTTTTGCAACCGGTCCCAGCGTTGGCGAATAGTGCACGACGTGGAATTCGCTAGGATGATATTCGTAAGACATGTCCGAACACCGAAGTCGATGTTTCAAGATGGTGAAGCCAATTGAATTATCGTCGCTTTGCCCGAACACACGTTGGCGAACCTCTGGATCAGTAAAATGGCGTTGCCACTAGACTTCCCTTGGAAACAACGATGATCAAACACAGAGTCGTCCAACATCTTCAACTCGGAGAGGCCAGGTTTTGCAAGCATAGAGCAAAACTGCTTCCACTGACGCGTTGTAGATCCAACCAATCACACCTAGGCTAAAATTGCGAAAGCACTAAAGATGGCCTAGATTGATATAAGTCACTCTGGCTCTCGCTATAAGTGAATCTAATCTATAGGACGTTGTTTTGAAAGTTCAGTTGACGGCCATTTTCTACAATGTTTGATGGGATACACTCGAGTGCAAGAACATGGAATCAGCTATTTATTAGTAAGTAAATATGTACACGCCCCCAAACGCCCTGGTATGACCAAGAGTGGGGAGAGTCCGCTCTCCCTCTCGAAATACTCTCACATGGCCACGCGTATATGGCCTCTGTCAGGGAAGTCCTACTCACTGCCTTCTCGTGGCATTACTGTTGTTTACAAAAATGAGAGGACGAAAAGCGAATGTCCGGCGCTATAACCGGATCCCAAACCAATGGTGCACATGGGCTCCAGTATCCTGAAGGAACAAATGGCGTATGAACCAATCGTTGGTCACCGGCTACCATGGGACTGCATCTCCTTACGGTGCTCCACTGCCTTGTGGATCAGATCTTCAGGTCGAAGGCTCGGGGTATGGCCCCCTAAGTAAACCACCTGCTCCGGTTTGGGCACCCGGGCAACATCACAGCCCTCACATATATCAATTGATACCTGTGTGGCGCATATGTATTTGGTGCCTCCTTGTACCAATATCTATGTGTTAAAATAAATAAAATAAATAAATATATACATACACTAAAAGCGTTAGTTACCAGTTGGTGATAATTATGAAACATTGTCAAAACTTTGTGGGCTATAATTTTATTCTTATGTGTAACTGAAACCTAAAGATTGATGAAAAAAATATTCAGCCTATCTCCGTTTGATTACGATGATATTAAACTCACTCATAATTATGCTGATAAATGAATGCAGCGGGAAGAATTTATTCCAGTTACATATTGTAATTCTTATAATTAAAAAACTTTTTTATTTACCAGGTAGTTCAGTTATGCAACAGTAATATTTCTAGAGTAAACAATTACTTTGCAACATACAAACATATTCTACGTCTATCAGTTTTGAAATATGATAAAAGAATATTTTAACTAACATAAAATAAGTGTAATTTGAACTATAGACTTTAAATGATGTAGTAAGGAAAGTGTGGAGTATAAGCCTATTATAAGTAGTTAAGTTAATATTGTATTCTAATCAAGGGATCCTTCTTCGCATTTCATATACTTTACTCACTGAATAAATTATTAACATTGAAATACTTGTAGATCATATTATTTATGCTAATTGTAACGACGGTAGTTTATTCCTTTAAAAATACATTATTTGTTATAGAAACAACTTTGAAGGAATCTTGTTAGTTAGTTGTAAATAAATACTATTAGAATAAAAGATTATAGTACATTTTACGCAATGTGGCAAAAAATATGATGGCATGTTAGTTTTGTTTCCCAATCTATATTATAACAGACAATGATTTAATTTTTAATTCAGTGTGTTTAGCGTAATGATCATAAAATATGAATGAATCACGGCTTTTCAGATACTAAGAATACATTTTGCATTAAATTTTTATCATACCTACTAGGGAGTTGAGGTTCTACCAAACAACAAAAAAGATTCAACTTTAATTGTGTTAAGTAAAAACCACTGAATTTACTCAAGTATGTGTTGTGATATACATGATGCCCCCTAGAAAATTAAGCCACCGATGGTATTTCATCCTAAGGGAATGTAAGTCATATCTTGACCGATCACGTTCACGTATGATCTGACTAATTTCTGACTGGCCAATAATTAATTACCTTATAGTTGGGTTAAATTAATGAAGAATATATAAAATTACATTTTCTAGTTTGAATTAAATTTTATGTATCGGAAAGTTTTCCAGACAAATAAATTTCTTAAAATAACTTACTTTGAAAACCAAAAACCAAATAGTAATAATATCTACTTATCCTGCTTTAAGGATGTCTAGTCTAGCTTCACTTATGTAAACTGAAGCAATCAAATATTAAAAACGCATATCTACGACTAGAGCTCAAAATATTTTCAATAACATCAAAACAATAGATTTACCATTGGAATCATTTGTACTAATTTTGCTACTTCACTCGACATTTCATCAACAGCTTTGATTAGTTTTGGTTGCAGTGCAGGAAATGCTCTAAAATCATGTACTTCTAAAGATTCTTGCATTCTGTTAATGTTAGGGAAATCACCAATTGATATATGTTGTGTGCGTGATATGGTATCGTATACTTTGGATAGGTTATTGATAAGCTCTTTTTTCTTAGCATCTTTACCAACGATTGTTGGCATTTCTTTTTTCAAATGCGAAATAACATAAGCATGAACCTAAAGTAAGAAAAAATAGTAAATGAGAGCATTTAACAAGCATTTGACATATCCAATATAAACAGTATTTAATAACACACAAGATTTAGTATGGTTTAGTGTTCTAGAAATTGGAGATTTTGTATGAAGCTTACTCAATGAATCCACCGAAGACATAACCAATGCCCTCTAGAAAGATTACCCAGCTCATTTAATCATTAGGGTTGGAGACATATGACACATTACTCATGAAGGATGTAGTATACTTGACATTTCTAGTGCTAACCAATGTATGAGTTGACATACAGATAGGATTCACAATTTAACCACTTTCATAACTAAATATGGGATTTCTATAGTAGTAACAAGGTACAGTCATTAGTATTAGCATTATATTTCAGGTATCAATGAGATAGAAAGCGTTCTTAGGAATTCTTCTTTAGGAAGACCTCAGTTGACTTGTTTAGAAATATGGTCTTGGAAATTTAGAAATATGAGTGTGATCAGAATAAATCATTGAAGTCCGAATAAGGATAAAATGATGACTTCGACCATCTTTGGGATTACTTCCAAGTAAGTCATAGTTTTTGTCTAATCAAAGTATACATCGACCAGAGGTATAATAATAACAATTTTGCTTAACTGAAGTTAATATATGTATGTGAAAACACTTTCCAGATGAATATGTTAATTTTACAGATAGAATAAGTTGAGTACAAAATTCCTCATAAATAACAATTCATGTTGTATAAAAAGATTCTCGAAAAAATTACAGGGAATTCAATTAAGGTAATAAAAATAAAACCGTTCTCCATAGACACAACCTCTTTATTGATTGGAGGATGTGGTATAAATTGACCGAATGAACTATTTAGCCTTGAAACACCAAACGTATAATTACTCTACAGATGCGTGAATATTAAAAACAGAATTCAACTGTAAATCGAAATTTTACAATAATAATAATAAATTTGGCCTAAATGTTTATTTATTCAACCTTCGGTTATATATCTAAGTAGGATATCAGATTGTGTCATGATTGTAAATATGTCCAAATTAATAATGGGTTGATTAGCATACAATCTTTACCGAAAATGAACGTCAATCTTAATGTACTACAAAAAAAATGCTTCCTTTCTTGGTTTATAGGTATAAATCACAACAAGTGATAAGATCCTAATCCAACAAGTGATTTATTCAACTTGCAGTATTATTAACCAATTAATTAGGAAAAACCCTCATTAGTTTTGATTATAAAATTATGTAATATCCTAATGAGTAAAATGATGAATTTTAAGGTTTTGTGACTTTGTGTAAGTTACTTTTGTGATGTCTTTAGTTTTTTATGCATTTTTGAAGCTTAAAAAAGAACCACAAGTTAGAAATACAGAATAGAAATATGGTAATTTGTAGTTAAAATACGAAAAGATTATGTTGTCAACATACTATTTAGCTTATTACCACTCCAGATATCTGACTAAATAAGCTGAAGCGGTGGCTTGTAAGTGCTCAACTGTCAGTCGCAGTTTTGAGTCCCATACATCCTAATTCGGTTACAGCAGCCGAGTAGCACTACATACAGTGTGGCTCGAAGCAGATTACACTAATCTATACTTGGTGAGATACATCAAAGACAGACTAACATGAATTAATCAACGAACCATAATGATTGGTACAAAACTTTACTAATATTTTCATGATTTCAACCAACGCTACAAATTTACAGCTCATGTTCATGCGTGTGTTGTCAAGATCTTGCCATACGAGATGAAGGGTTGAAAAATATAGAATCCTAAGGTATTATGATCAGCAAAGTCATTATTCTATAAGGCTGATGACTAAAAGCTTTAGCTTTTGTGGTTCAAAATCAATCACAGTGGTAAACATATTTTCATTTATTCAATTATTATGCCTCCTAATATTAGAAATACTAATATTCCATACCCATATGATAAAGAAAATATATTGGGAAAACGCTCAGATACGATGATTGGGAAAAAGCTTAGCCTTTTGTTGTTTTTGTTATAACGGAACGAATATTGTAAAAGTTGGAGCTGGATTTCAGAATTACTACTGATTATAATTTAGCTGTACGATTACTGAGTAACTACAATATTAGCCACATGTATTTCTTTAATCACAAGCTTTCGGTAAACCCACTAACCACTGTTATACGACTTATATTCCTAATTTGTTCCCAGTCTACTATTTACAGTCTACCCTATTCACGTCCGCTTTTGGCTTGTTTATAAATGATTATTTTTCAGTTTATGGTGTGATGTACTTCGGTATGCCCGTATACAAATCACATCTATCTGAAAAATAAATATAGTGGAGGTCGGCTGTTATTTCTAACCTCAAGACAGAGGCTAAAGAAGAGCTTGCGAATAATGGGTTAACAGGAACCCAGCTACCTGCCTAAGTTCAATAATACTGGTCGGGCGTGTTATTGCCCAAATCATAGATACTTAGCTATAGAATAAATAGCAGACTAAATTAGAATTAGGATCCTGATTGATGATCGGGTACATGATACTGATCAGGGATCCCCAAAACATAAGTTTTGATCTATCTGCAACGAAACCACAGTAAGAGGAAAGTTCAAAAGTGACAATTTACACAAATGACAACAAAACACTTACTTTGGCAAGACGAGCACGTCTAATGAAATCATTCAATTTTCTCAGAGTACCATTTGCGGGTAGAGTAGCCAAATCACGAAACAAATCCATTTTCTCTAATTCAAATAATTTTCTATTGGTATCAAATACTAACTGACGGTCCCAAAAACTACCAATATATACACGTGCTACTTCAGGTGTATTTAATATTTTTCCTAAACTCCACATTAAAGCACCATACACTCTCATAAGTTGTTGAGAATCAATTGTATCTGCCTTATTTAAAACAATTCGTATTTTGTCTTCGTTCGACTGAATACAAAAAATAACAAAGATTTTTTTAAAGTATATGTATCGCACAATATTACTGAAGAGTATTTTAAACAGCAACACTAGGCATTTTATTTCTTTTTAGTATGCATTCAACGACTACAGCTAACAAAGAAAGCTTATGCACCCATAATAATCGCTTATTAAACCCCATGGCTGGGATTCGTTATTTTATAGACCAGTCTAGCATTATATTTAGATGTGCACTTTATATATATATATATATATATATATATATATATATATATATATATATATATATAATCTGGCTTACATTATTTTCTTGCTTTCTTTTATTAATTATAAAAGATTTACACAACTGGTGTATGAAAGAATATTGACAATAATGGCTCTTCTCGCTGGTACTAAACTGAATTACACAACTAGTCTTATTGTACAGCGATAGAACTAGAGGCTTGGACAAACAAGATGAATCTTAGTATCCGAACATGTCCAGTCAAACCGTATAAGACAGGAATAATAAGTTGGTTTTCTGACTGGTTATTTAATAACTAACGTAGTCACATTTGAGTACTGTTTAAAATGTACTTACTCAAAGAACTTCTGTATATTGAGATAATATTTTGACAAAATAATATTCTCAATCACACCGTATGGAACAACTCTATATTAACACAAATTCATACACGGCTCCTGAAGAAACTACACAAAAACACTAGTAATTTAACAGTTAAGGTGTTATACAAAAGCTTTGCATAAAAATGAGTGTACGAATTATACGACATTAATTTCACTTCAAACCAATAAGATCACTTAAGTCAGATGCGACGTACAGCCCGGTACGTATTTACATCAGTCCGAGTTACAATACCAGAGAGATGGAATTGTCACATTCACATAATAGTAGGAGTATTAACAGTATGAGTAGTGATCGGAAAGACTAAGGATCAAAAATACGACTCATTGAAATATAAATTAGTGAAATAAAAACACAGAGAAAAGTTATGAGATTCAATTTTGAGAATTCACGGTAAGACAAAGAATGGATGAACCTGAGTAACTGCAAAGATTTTGAGCCATGTCATTCAAGGCTTCTAACCACTGGTTAAGATAATCACACAGACCACAACTAGGTAGTTTACACCTATTAACATGGTTCAGTTCAATTGTAAATGAATTCACAAGTTGATAGCATGTTTTGGTTTGACCGCCTCCACAAACAACATCGACAATCAAGGTAAGCGGCAGTTGGGGATACGTAATGAATGTCACAACCACCATCTTTACCTAATACCTTATTCCTAACCCAGGCACTGCCTACTCAGCGGTTCTAAATTACACGAGCAGTGCTCCAAAAACGCCTATGATCGAATAATATTAACCCACGAATATCCTTTATTCTTAATGCCCATGTTTCACACTCATAAAGTAGGATGAAGCGAACTGCTAAAGTCAGTCATTACTGACATGAATGTGCATCGATTGAGGTTACTACATTTTCGTATTAGCACAGTGCGAGTAAATCAACAAAATGAGAAACATGTGCATGTAGTGGAGCAGCTTTTTAACCCGAATCGATTATTGAAAGTTGAGGAACCTGAACCACCAATCCACCATAAACCCAGCATCAACCATTAAGATTCCGCAGTAGATCGCTCCAAAATGAGAGGAATTTCGACTCAACCAAAAAACGGTTAAGATAAATTTAGATTAGAAGTACTAGGACCATATGAAATGAACGCTTAAAACTAACCAACATATATAGAATTATGTAATTCATTAGTATAAAATACTTGTTGGTAATAACAGTAACCAAATAGGCATAAAAATCAATTCCCTTTATTTATTATGTTGATTTATTTTGAACTAACCAACCCTTGACATATTAGATGTCAAAACACTTAAAAAAAGTAAAAGAAAATGAATCATCGGAAATAAAGAAATTAAACGTAATGTACTTCAGTCAAAATGAACTTTTTTGTCGATGATAATCTGCAAAAAGAATAAAAATCACTGGATGAATTCACTCTGAAACCGTTCAACAGATAGTTAGAGAATGTAAATAAAGGTAAAAGAATGACAGGAAAACGGGACAAGTTTTTTATGTGTATTTATTGGGTCATGAATGAATGAAAACGAATACCTGAAAAACTAAAACACTTTATTGAAAACGGGAACAGATGGTCTGAACTACAGAAAAAAAAACGTTTAAGACATGAAAGATTCCTAAACTATTAGCATCCCAAGCTAATTTATTGAACGGCTCTTACTCTGGTTGTCTTATTCTATATGATTTTTTCTCATCTATTCGCTGTATCACTATTTCAGCTTGCATGGAGCACTTCATCATGTTCATTTCTATGCAACACCTTTTTTCAATAAAATAACGTATGTTTAAAGCTATTATCATAGAATGTGGAGAATTTTATGCAATATTAACTGATACATATTCCGTAAGGTTATGTAGACCAAAATATATTTATATTCAATGCCATTAGAACTCTCCGACAAAACATACAATTGTAGTATTGAAAAAATTCGTAGGTACTTAAAAATGAAGCGGAGAAAATGAAGTCTGAGTTCATCATTTGCAAAAGAGCGATAATTCAACTGACTATCGATAATTTGAAATAACACTTGAACTACATATTTCATATCAACCGCTTTTAGTTGTTTAGTACCAGACCTGTCAAGTCAACACAGAATTCCCACATTCACAGACTATAAGAAGTGCTGATGGCCAAACAAGATCACATCAATTTTGATAGGGTTTTCGGTTTGTAAAAACATGGTTATATAACCAGCGATCGAAGGATGCATTAACTTTGTTGTAATATTATGCTCTGAATGTTGGTCATCGTTACAAATCGCTTTCGTAAGGACATAGTACATATTGAGGTCTTTTAAATACATGACTTGATGTTTCAAAAGTATCTCATATGAATAATAGTAAATGAGATCTCGGGAGGGGGACTAGACAGTAGAATATTGAAAAAAATACCAAAATTAATCAATAATTATAAGAGCTGAAAATAGAGAGGAGTAAAACCTGAAGATAAATGAACTAGTGACCCGTTCCGGGTCTAAACTTTAAGAACAAGCACCACCAAGCTATTGACTACAATTATCCTGCGTAGTGGTTTAAATTATCTGCGACAAGCACAGTAATGCCTCAGAACACAATTATGTCTTTAGCGTTGATTAAGTGCTAAAAAATAATCGTTACATTATCGTAGCTAACCTGACCAACAGATAAAAGTTCATTGGTAAATCAAAAACATCAATAGTCTAGAGTCATGCATTTCCAAAAACCGTTTGAATTTTTAAAAGCTAAAACCATAAGGTTTTTCGAAAAGAAAAGATAAATGAACACACCTATGTTAAGCGAACTAATATTGATTTGTCTTGTAAACTACTAGCTTTGGATAATTTGTAGCCCCGATGAAGCGTTTCATTACCAACTAAACAGAAACAAATGTAAAAATCCATAAGGGAGTGTATCCAACTTAATATCTTTCTTAAAACAAGAGTTAATATAATTAGCATTCAAGAACTAAGTGACCAAGATCTACAAGATATAAGCAAGACGAAAACCATACTATGGAAATGAAGCGTCAAAATGTATAATTAAAAGTTTTGAAATTCAAAGTTGGATTTGAGCATCAAGATCACGTATGATCAAATTTCATATATACAGAAGTCACATGAGTAGAGTGCTCGTAATCTAACATTAAATCAGGAACAACAATATGGGAATCCATGTCTTTTTACTTCAAAATGTTACAAATCTATTCAGATTTCACCGTAACAATCATTTTCAGATAAGGTTCACCCTTCGCTACTGTTCACTGAGGGATTGAAAACAGTAGTTTTATTCTAATATCAACAGCCTAACTCTGACATACATACAAGTGACTCGAGAAGAGTTCCTATCGGTAAAGTAAGACCCGATGTAACAAATTACACTCTTCTGGCATATTCGCGAATTTCGTGACTTTTTAAAAGAGTGATCACTTAACATTGGAAGCAGTCATTCGGAATAAAAATAAGGACACGAATCCTGGTATGAACAACAAGCATTTATCTCAAAATTAAGTATTTAGTTGACCAATTCGGTTCCCCAAGATTCTGGGGGGGATATTTTTGGAAAGAGTAATACATGAGTATAAGTGCGACGACAAAAAAAAACTAGCTTTAACTCAATTACTAAAATACCAGAAAACTGTACCTTTAAAACTTCGATAACCCGCCGGAATTCGTCCGATATATCCAGTTTATGAGCGTCAAAGAGCAAGATGATTCTATCTGCACGCTCTGCGAACCACTCAATAACACCTGAGAAGTCGTACCCGCGATCGACACGTTGCTTCTCGCCACTCAAAATTCCAGGTGTATCAATGAACGTTATTCCATCCAAAACACCATTTGGCATGTGTGCACACTGAAAACGATTTAAAAAACCATTTCCAAATTTAGAAAGAGGTCTAAATTGCTTTGAATAATCCATTACGAGAGCATTCCCAGGAATAATCCCGCTCCTTGCATCGTTCATGACAGCTATGAAACTATCTGTAGTTGGTTCGGGGCCTATTCGGATGCCAGGAAAATCTTCACCAATTAGGTAACGTATAAAAGTTGTTTTTCCAGTAGAATACTGACCAATAAGTAAAACCATTGGCTTCGACTCGAAGTCACTTTTTTCAAGCGGAGGAGAGTGGAAATCATGGAATTTGTACAAATTTTCGAGTGGAAGCAATTTTTTAAAGTATAATTTGCTAAGCCCATCAATCACATTGGCATACACCTCTTGATCTTTCGGTCTGGAATTTTTTAAAGCGCTTAACATCGCGGAATTTAAATAGTGATCGCACTCCAGAGAGCCTCAAGGTTGTCACTCAGTGCACAAAAACCAAACTATGATTAGATACTTATCTTGATAAAACACAATAAGCCACTAGGTCTCACGAATGGGATTCGTTAACACTGTGTACTGGCGCTTGATGCTGTGCCAGAATAGTGGCTATTCTAAAGTTATGTTTGAACTGTAGAGTCGGTTACTATGTCAAGCCCACATAACGTATTCCACCTTCTGGAGAGGCCAATTTATCCATTCTTCTTGAGTCACGTTTTGGCCTTGCAAGCTGTGCACTTACCAACATTGACTGTCTTTATATAAATGTATGTGAGTGTATGTCTTATCCTACTCACCACATGTCTGTAGCTTATTTTTGTGTGGCTATAAATATTGATTAACGTTTGACTAAATCAAAGTGACTCACATGCCTTCCACACTGCTCCCTTTTCTTAGCCTTCTTCGCTTCGTCCCCTTGACTGTCTGTCCAGATCAATGAGTGCACAAAATATGTGTATTCAAAAATCTTTTCTCGTATTTGGGTTATTAATTTCTGTTATTCACTAACAACATCTAATATGATGATTATATACGAAGATTGGCGATATGTATATTTCAATAACGGTAATCATACGATCTAATTGGAGTCGGATTTCATAAAACCAAAGTGGTGAGCCTGTCGGTAACATCTTCCGATTTAATTGACGTCAGAATGAAGGCCACACAAAAGAACACTACCAAGATCACAGGAGGTCACGAAACGATAAAGTCATTATGGGACATGGTAAATGCCAATAAAGTCCACAAATCCACAAAATAGGACAGAAAATAAATCTTTAAAGTGTACAAAAATTTCGTTGCTTGGTGATAATCCTTGCTTACGTGTGGATTGATAGCTAATTTGATGGATAGATGGTATTTACTTCATTCAATATTGTATGTTTTGTGCAATAAGATATTCCCAACATATATAGCGTAATGCTAGACAAGTCTTGTCTGAAGGTGTAGTGAAAATTACTGTCACAATATTCATCGAACTTACATAATTCATTATGCGTTTCACAGTCAATATCAATCTTTTTGAACGTATCAAATGCGGTTTGTAAAGGTAGAAATAAAAAGTCATCGTGAATGAGAAACTTTAAATTTTTTAAAGCGACTGAGTATAGTCGAGGTTGAGAGTTAAACGGGTGTGAAGGACAAGTTATCAGACAAAACTGGCTGACAGTTAAGATAGTCGCCTATAGAAGACAGGAGATATTTTGGGGAGATACATGATCAGGTGTACCTTGCTCCGAATAAACTACTGGACTATGGTTCACTTAAATATTCCACATTCGAATGACAGATTAGGTACATTTCAGACAAGAACGACGGTCATTATCAAAGGAGAACTGAAAAAAAGCCACTTTAAAAATCCACACATAACTTAGGGTTACGAAGACAGCCTCAAAACTAATAATGTACAGTAAATTCATTCATGTTAGCGTTTTGTAGCGAGTAAGTTGTTGAAGACGTCAGTTGAGTGCGGTCGAGTGGAAACACGCTTAAATGAACGCATGGTGTTTTGAAGCCTACCCGTGTAATAGTTTAGATCCAAAATCATTGAAAAAGATGAAAGATCTTTCGTGCCTTATGGTAACCCTCGCGTTATTAATAGAAGAAACCAGATTCGTAGGAAAATAGGTCTTTATTTTGATCTTCGCGCAGTCATAGTGGAGCGTGGGATTCCTTACTCAGACAAACAAAACCTCTCAACAAGCAATATCAGATAGATAGAAATATAACGCCTAAACAAAATAAAGAAGTGAATAAATATCTGAACTATGCTGTTTTGATATATGCTTAGTTGCTTGAGATAAACTCTTGACAACCAACCTAAGCTGTTACATTAGCTTCCCCCTAGAATCGACTTCCGTAGGAACGTCGGTTCGATAACCTATTTATCAAAAGCATTTAAGTTCTGTTTCCGCAGTCCAAGGGCGGATTATCAACTCGCTCACTATGACTTGAAATCAATGACAACTCCATCGGTCCGTGGATATCTCTTCATTTGCCATCTTATTTTGTAGCATGCAATTTTTACTACACTATAGCTGACGGTATGCAACGTGCTCGCAAGAGAAAGAGTTTGAGAAAATGGAACAAGAATGTCTGAGGAAGTGCCGCGAGCGGGCTACCCAACACCATGTTGGTGAGGTACGATTTTTCCACGCTCTGTCCGGCTATCAGGTGTTTACTCACCTGCCTCTTGAGTCGCCCTCAAGTAAAAAATAAAGAAGAGTCTACTTCAAAGGTAATGATGAAAATCAACAAAACCTGAAGAACTGCTCCACTGTCTGCATAAAATAATAAGGTACAAAATGTAAATACACAAATATAGTTGATAATTATTCGGTTTTACGTGTTTTGCCTCGAGAAAAGATTGCTCGTCTGGGTTGCTTTTTGAATTCGCCGTTATTGCCAGGGCTAGTTGTGTGGTTTCATAATACATACTCACAGGGAATTCGATCAACGTTTGCCTCCAGCTTTTTAATTGTTCACTATTATTGGTAAAATCTAAGAAATTGTTTAGTTTAACAGGCACAGCTTGTTCACATCACTCATCTTATTTGGAGATTTGTCGTTCTCTGGTGTGACTCACCCCTTTTTATGAATTCGACTACTGTCACTCAGCAATTGTTTAGGAATCCCTAGCTTATGTATCCAGTATTTTTTTAATAAAAATTTTAACACACACTCATATATCAAAAGTAAAAGATCTGGGGAGTTGTGGATAGTGTGACATCGAAAAGTATTTTTTTAGTTAAATAAAATAGGTGAGACGTTATGAGAAAAAAATTTATTTTTAAATAAACGCAGGATCCTACTAGGTACGTGATTAGATTTTATTCTGCAGCCAAAACTGTCAATATTCTCGACTGAATAATGTATGTGCCCATCTAACCGTTTTAGTCACTTGTAAAGATTTACCGTTTTTACATGTCGATTCCGCAAATGTTTTGTCAGGTAAGCGGTCTAACAACACGTACGGTGGTTCATGATCGAGATAAGCTGGTTTTAACCTATCAATACTTACGGAGTCCATGTTTCCATGTCTTTCTATCATGAAATATTTATCTTTTCTTGAGATGACTTTGAAAGGACCTTCAAACGGAGGGCTAAGTGGTGCTTTTATTTTGTCACACCTTATCCAGACGTGCGTGCAATTGCTTAGACCTTTAGGTATTAATTGGCTTAAGTTTGGACATGTGGTCCCGTAGTTGATCTACGTAATTTTCTAAATTAAGTTTTGACTGTTAGTATTAGGGTTAATAAATTCACCTGGTAGTCTCAGAGTTGTTCCGAAAACCATTTCCGCTGCTGAACACTGTGCGTCAGTTTTGACAGATGTTTGTATTCCCAACATAACTAACGGTAGGAATTCTGTTCACTGATTGGGGTTTGAGTGAGATATAAGAGCGGTCTTTAGCTGACGGTGAAAACGTTCTACCATCCCATTAGCCTGAAGATGATATGCCGTACAGCGTATCCTATTGGAGCCTAGAAGTTTAGCCAAGTTATTGAATAGTTCGGATTCGAATTGCGCTCCTCTATCAGTCGATATTGTTATGGGTGTACCAAAAATGGTTACCCAGTTCTGCATGAAAACCTTGGCTACTGTTTCCGCTGTGATGTCCGCTATCGGGATGGCTATAGGGAATCTGGTAAATCGATCTATGCATGTAAAAAGATAATTAAAACCGTTCGAACGTGGTAAAAGTCCTACCAAGTCAATATGCACATGGGCAAAACGTGCATCTGGTTGCAAGAAAACACCTATGGGTGAATTTGTGTGACGAATAACCTTTGATTGTTGGCATGCCGAACACTCTCTGACCCATTTGTGTACATCCTTCTGTAAATTCGGCGTTAATAAGTTTAGTTGAAGCTTTTGCGCCAGGATGAGACAAAGCATGGAAGTTATTATATATCAACTTTCGCATACTTTTAGGAACGAAAGGTCGAGGCAATGCCTTAGTCGTGTCACAGTAAATTAGAATACCGTCGATAGGCGAAGATAACTGTTTTAATTTAAGACTTGAATTATTTGTTTTAAGCAGATTTTTTAATTCTGGCTCCTTTTCTTGTTCGTGCTTCAGCGTCTCGAAGTCTACTGTAGATTGCTGTAGCACGTTCATTTCTAATCTAGATAAAGCGTCTGCAGCCTGATTGTCCCGACCTTTGACATGTCGGATATCACTTGTGAACTGTGATATATAGTCAAGGTGTCGAACTTCTCGCGGTGAGTATTTCTCGGCTTTCGCTTTTATTGCATTCGTTAGTGGTTTGTGATCTGTAAAGACTATACATTCCCTGCCTTCTAACATGTGTCGGAAGTGCTTAATGGTCAGGTAGATTGCCAGAAGCGCTCGCCCGAAGGTAGAATACCTTGTCTCTGCTGGAGCGAGTCTTTTTGAGAAGAAAGCAATTGGTTTCCAGGCGTTTTCAACCAGTTGATTAAGAGTACCACCTTCTGCTTTATCTGAAGCATTCACCAATAAAGAAAGTGGGGAAAGAGAATTCTGATACATCAATGTAGATGCCTGAGCCAGTTTATCTTTTAGCTGTTTAATCGCTTCGACGGCGTCAGAAGACAGTTTGTATATTTTTGGTTTTCCTTTAAGTGAATCTGTCAAAGGTTGCATTAGTTGTGCACAACCGGGTATGAATCTGCGATGAAAGTTAATTAGACCTAAAAAACTTCTCAGTTGTGTTAGAGAACTAGGTATAGGATATTGTTTGATGGTGTCCACTTCTGCTTTGATAGGTGTAATCCCTCCTGGGCTTATTGTGTGCCCAAGAAATTCTAGAGTTCGAACACCGAAAACACACTTACTTTGATGTATGCTCATTCCATTTTCATCCAGTGTTTTTAACACTGCTCGTGCATGCTGTTCATGTGACTGTAAATGGGGGATGGCAATTAACAAATCGTCTATATACCCCAGTGC